AACGTCTCAGCTCTATCGAAATGAATATGCAAGAGAGCTGTGAAATGTTTGTCAAGTGTACGATTATTGGTTTGCTTTCAATCAGAAAGGCAAAAACTCGTATATTGTGATGCCACCTCTATGTTATACATTGATCTAATGCACAATAAATTCTTACCTGAACCAGCTAAACGTTCTTTAGTTTCGTCAAAATGTCCGTGATTTGCCTGAGCTTCTCGCACAAGTCTGAAATAAGAAAGAGAAAGCTTGTCAGTAGTTCCGACGTGAAAAGTTCTTCTACGTATACGGTTAGAGGAAAATATTGGTAAAAGGAGCCGTCCTACTAGGGAAGGTTCCCTAGGGCTCGGTTTTTTTTAATGAAACATAGCTTATTGTATGGAATCGAGTTTAAAGTCCGTTGCTGCATACAGACTTTTCTCAGGCGAAACTTTAAACAACGATTCTCCAGGAGCGCAACATTTACAGTGATCAAATATAAATTTTTTCAGTAAACAAGGACTTTCTACTAAAAAATGTTAACCACTAAAATGAGATATCTCCTAGATCTGTACTATACATTTTCATGTGTTATGGCTTTTACAACGAAAGTCCCGTTCGTTTTATAAAACATCGAATTCATATGATTTTATAGCTAAAGTTATAAGTCCGTTTGTATACTCGAAAAACCATTTGCTCGAAGATGTTCCATCTTGAAGAAAACTGTTTGCTCTGTCTTACTGATACCATTCTTCAGCCACAAACAATTACCAGGCAGTGGTTAAGAACTATTTCAATGTTGGGTTTATGAACGTCACTTCCATTAAATCTTACTCTCAGAAAAGCCAGCAACGGTTGAATAATAACAAACTTCAGATTCATAATCGCAGCTGTCATGTATATATGATAAATTTACAAGGGTTTACTACGGGACCCTAGTCAATATTATTATGGTGACATGTTTCGTTTTTTCTCTCTAACTGATGGTTTCTAAAGTACTACGAGTTCATAAATAGTGTTTAGCCGTATGAATACTTGTTTTTCCTTACAGAACTTGTCATACTTATTTTATTACACTTAGAAATTGATCTATACATACTGCAAGAAAACATCTTCGATCGTTATCATCGATATACCATAACCAGTAATTTCAATATTCCGTTTAGTTTCGGGTTCATCGAGTGTTTCAATCAAAGTAAATGTTCCCGTCTCTTCTCCACGTGGAATACCATATATTAATTCTGTTGTCGATTCTCTTTCTAATATTGCATTATTGACGTATGTTTTAACATACCTTGTCACCGTTTCTTCTTTACACAAAGAATCAATTTTGTCGATAAACAAATGATATTGTAAGTCTATAATTAGAAATTCAAAACTGCATTCTACTTTTGGTCAACATTAGCCCACGTCACAGCTTAGAGGAAACTTCCTATAATATGTTTTATGTTCTTATTCTTCGAGCAGCTTCTATCTAACTAGAGCGGTGCTAGTCTATATCTTTCTAGCTAGTGGCGGATCCAGGGGGGAGCTGGAGGTAGCTGAGCTCTCTCTAGAAAATTTTAGCTCCATATATATTGATAAGCTTCGCTACTAATGAGTACCGGGATGCGGAGCTGAGCTCTCTCCAGGCCGAAATCCTGGCCCCGCCACTATTTCTAGCTCAAGGAAAAATCATCTAGGTGAAAAATTTAGATACATTTCGTCTATAGTAGGATGATTAGTTGTCATCTAGATTACTAGCTGGAAAAGGAACCTTTAACTAGATGTATCTGCGATTATCGGGAGAATCGATAGTAGCAACTGACGGGAACTCTGTTAATCGCTCGATTACTAGATTTCCACTGTCGTTACCAAATCATTGCGATCGGATGAAAATCTAGTAATCTAGATGCATCGGACGATAATAGATTTTTTTCTATGCATGTAAAAAATCATGATTGTCTAGTGGTATCTAACTTTCTAATCAACAAGTATAACACTAATCCCAAGATATGTAACATCTACCTAGAAAGTGGAAAAAAGTTAGAAAAAATCTAAAAAATCAGGAACTTCAGTACACATCCAGTATTGACTATACAGACCATTGATGAGACTTGATGTACGTACTAGTTTGTTGTTTTAAAAATTCAGTTGTTCCACAAGCCTGAAGTTTGCCATCTGTCATAATTGCTATTCGATCGGATAAAACATCTGCTTCGTCTAAGAAATGAGTTGTCAGTATGACACAACGACCGTCTTTTTTCAAATTTTTTATAATAGACCAGATTTCACGACGATTCGCGGGATCTAGAAACAATTTGAATGAGCAAAATAAACGTTTATCGTGCGTCAGCCGATTAAACAAATCTCCAATTCTTCTTTAGGGTAATAGTATTCTCGAAATATTCACTAAATTTATCATAAAGTTTCTTCTATTATGTTTATTCTGTCAATAGAGCTATTCAGAACGTGTCAAATCAGTTTGGTTGATATTATGAGAATGATGTACTGTTTACTAGATAACGAACATGGTGCCATAAATTTTTTTACTTCACAGAAAAACAAGTGTATTGAATGTTCAAACAACATTTTATATACAACTTTTTCTTTCACGAAACGCTTTTTCGACGTGTAAATTTTTAAAGAAAATGGTTGAATAAAGTAAGGTGCATGGTTGCTCTTCATTTGAAAAGATCTTCGAAATAAGATTTAAATCAAACAGAAAGTTCTTCTAGTGAGGGCTGCCTACTTCATAGCTTGAGACGTTGTATGTACAATGGACGGCTTAGAAATCAAGTTTTCAATCTCAAGAATTTTTAGAAGTTTAAGCTTTAAGAGAAACGTATAGTATACAAAAGGATACATTTTAAAATACTCTTAAGAAGATCCAAAATTCCCACGAACAAAATACAGTTTAGAGATTTTGACTACGGTTGTAGATAATTCATCGAACTTCTTGTTTGGGTTAACACTAAATACTCGCTGTATGGTAGCATTAACAAGATGTGGGTTGCATTCAGAAGTTACTTAAATCTAATTCAAATTTCTCTGAGACTAATCATGCTTAAAAATTGGTTCATATACCATTCGGAAGCATTGACTGTCTGCTTTATAAGTATTTGACTTACAGGGGAATATTGGAGTTTCATTGAAAGGAAGTTCATTAAAATTTTTAATGGAATTTTTGTGCTATTAAAAACTCTAGGTCATAAATATTTTAATGAAAGTGCCGATACTTTCATTAAAAAAACCGTATTACTAGAAGTTTTTTTGATGAACATCATCCGATCCCTTACAGGTACCCGGTCTTCTTCGATGCCGGGTGATATAAAAATACGCAAAATAATATCATGTTAGTCGAGCAATATGAACTAACACCTCCCTTTTCTTATTCTAATTAATTAATTGACAAGTCATATATAAAACGTTTTAGTTACTCTTCAACTGTTGTTTCTGCCCACTGTGCGGATCCATTCAGATACAGTATTGAACAAACATGCGCTCGGAAATGGTATCATATATATTATCGAGTGCTCTCTGTGAACAAAGATCGGTCTAACTTAAGGGCGTTACTTGGAAGGAGGATGCCAAATACGATCATGAGAAAACGAAACAAGATGTCAACTTACTTTTTGGATTCTTTCGACTGTACTACGTTTGAAAGTAGATCGAGTTTTGAATCTTCTTAAAAGTATTTTAAAATGTATCCTTTTGTATACTATACGTTTCTCCTAAAGCATAGGCTTCTAGAAATTCTTTAGACTGAAAACTTGTTTTCTAGGACGTCCATTGTACATACAACGTCTCAGCTCTATCGAAATGAATATGCAAGAGAGCTGTGAAATGTTTGTCAAGTGTACGATTATTGGTTTGCTTTCAATCAGAAAGGCAAAAACTCAAATATTGTGATGCCACCCCGATGTTGTTGAATATTCTAATCAAGGCTTGCGCCAGATTTTAGACTGCTCACATTGATCACCGTAAACGGAGCATTTCTCTTTGACAATGTTTTCAGAAGCTTTTTGTATTGGTCAGTTTGAAATATGAGTAAAATAGAGTCATCTACTTACCAATTCCACTAGTTGGCTCATCAAATATTAATACCTATGGAGAAAGAAAAGATAACTGTTTATTAATCTGTTTCGTACAGTTAACAACTTACCTGTGGATCTCCTATAAGTGATAGACCGACAGATAAGCGACGCTTCATTCCACCAGAAAGATTTTTTGCTAGTGTTTGTTTGTCATTTACTAAATTGATTTTACGAAGAATATCATCAACACAACTGTCTATTTGATGTCTATCTATATGGCGCATCTAAAGGAAAATGATAAAAATAGTTTTTGTTTACTCAACGAAGACTTACGAGTAAACCCTCTAAGGTGCCCAATCATTTTTTGCTTGCGATATGGCTAATTATATATAACTGTTAGTGCTAGTTTCGAATACTATGGTAGTTTGTGCCCATCGATCTTTGTTAATTTACCAACTAAAATGGGGATCTCCAGGTGTTCGGAAGTTCAGTTTTTATCCACTTCTGACAATATCAGCATAGAGGAAATATTTAATTATATATCTGCATAAACTTTTGCTACTATCGGATGTATTAAAGACTCAAAAAATAGTGTAAACATCAACTGTTTTCTACGGATTTTGAACACTAATTGAGAGCAAAAAAATGACAGCTAAGTTAAAACCGATCTGATAAGGGCAAAAATTTGTGAACATATACAACTCAATGTTCTCTACAAAGCACTGTTAAAAACATCTTAAAGCACCAAAAAACGAAATAAATTTCTAGGGTTTTTCAGAAATCTCTTTGGACACACTCAGCTATTATATTCAGAATCAGCACCATCGATTACCGATAAATCGCTATATTTCCAGCAAGAGGAGGCTAGACACTTGGAGAGATTTTTTCTAGAGCTCTGCAGGTTACAACTTTTTGACAACGTATAACCTAACCTATAAAAATCTTACTTAACCTCACGTATTAATATTTTGCGGAACCTAACATATCTTATGCAATTCATTCCCGAAATCCGGTTTCGGAAGCCTAAACTTCAGCTTTGTTCCACGTTATTATTGTTTCTTATCTAAACAGTGTTTGGTAAAACATCTTATGCAAAATAAATTACATTTTAAATGAATCGGTTGCGTCTTTTATTTTTTAATGCAAAGTTTTGAAAATTGCTTTCTGAGTAGAACTCTCTTGATCGTAGACTAGAATTTCACTTCAGTCTCTCGACGCTACGAAGGTTCTGTTATTGTTGTGTATTTGTCATCTATTTTTAGTAAACGCAAGATTTTTCTCCGTACTTCCAGTTTAAACTAGAGACTCTGTCTGAACCTTGTCGATTGAGCGATAAAGTTCCACTTAGACAGTTTCAGAATTACATCCGTTCGACTAGTACAAGTAAATGTTGGTACGATTAGTGCTAAGTGAAAATGTGAGAAAGTCTCAGCTCGTGACAAGAGAAGAATATCGGGTATTGTTCGTAGCAGTTATTTGACCGAATAAGACCACGCTTTCTTACTAAAGGGATTGGCGATCTTAATGTGGTCATTCAAAATCAGTTTTTTCCGTTTAGGTTAAAAATAAAATACCAATGCCGTAACCTACAACCGAACCTATAAAAAATTTCATAATCTACACCTAACCTATAGGTTAGGTTTATGTAGATGTTTAACTTTTAGGGCTCTAATTCCCTCATTAGCGTATAAGCAGTTAGACTACGATTTAGAAGAAGAAGAAAAATGAGGGAATATTATTTAAAATGTTTCTTTTTATTACCTTTGCAATTAATTCTAAATGTTCTTTCACAGACAATTCGTCGTAGAGAATGTCTAAACACGATATTTTTATTTCAAAATTAAAATCTTCGTAGATATTCAGTAAAAAGTACTTTACCATATTGTGGACAAAAGCCAATCTTTTTTCGAATATTTTGTATATTTGATGTAATATTCATACCATCGACAGTAATATCACCATTATCTGACTCTAACATACCTGAAACAGACAATAATATTTTAAGATCCATATAACACATTCTCTCATACACTATCAGTCAACAAATTCACTCTATGTATTACCCACAAGAATAAATGTCACGGTCGTTTTTCCTAACAAATACATAAAAAATATTTTAACATGTATTCAAAAGTTTGATTCTCAAAGGTTATACCAGCACCGTTATGACCAAGGAGACAGCATACTTCATTTTGATAAAATTCAAGTGACAAATTTGATACGGCATAGAATTTCTTGAATTTCTGTTTAAGTAAAAACTTTTATATACATAAAAACACTTTTGTTTTATATGTTCATACTTTTGTCAAATTTTTGATTGATACATAAGACTGAGTTGATTCTGATTTTGTTTGAAACCACTTGTTATCGATATTACGCAGTTCAATAGCACTGTTGCGATGACTAGATGGGCTAACTTTTCGTTTATAACAATTTAATGACTAAATTAGGATAAGATGGATATATCGGCAGGACCACCTAACTTTGTTATCGAAGTGAAAGCCGGTGACAGCTTTTTGGCATTTTGTTTCTCTCATAAGTTTCGAAAAGCGAAAAGGCTAGAGATCTGAAACATCTCAAATTACACAGAAACGTGCGCTAAAGATTTTTTTGAGACATTTCTGCAGTCGTTCAAATTAATATTTTGAACGGAAGAACGTGTAGATTGCAGAAACGTCTCAAAAAAAAATCTTTAGCGCACGTTTCTGTGTAATTTGAGATGTTTCAGATCTCTAGCCTTTTCGCTTTTCGAAACTTATGAGAGAAACAAAATGTCAAAAAGCCATCATCGAATTTCACTCTGGTAGTAGAGTTATGTGGTCCTGCCGATATACTTTCGCAAGCCGCTATGCTTTACTTACACATGATGTAATTTCACTTCTAGTTTATATAGCACTTAATTTTCTTATTATTTTAACTCGAACTGCAGCAAAACTTTTGTGATAAAAATATTTCCTCACAAATTCAACGCTCGGGTTGTAATCAAGGGTTTCTATAACACGCGAAGATAGGGTGAGAGATAGGCTTTGTGACTGTGAGTTCATCGGAACATTTCATCACGTGAATATTATTAGTGCACAACATTAAAATATTAGAGTGGTTAATGGAATAAGACAGATGTAATAAGAAAAGATATTTTGATATACTTTTACAATAACTGCTTTTGCGTTAGAGTTTCATGGATGATGCATAAGCTCTAGAAAAACAAATACTTGTTTTATTTAACTAAAAAGATTTGAAACTGATTGTATTCTTGTAAATCTCTGCAAATGTTTTTTCAGAAGAGCGATTGACTTAGCGGAAATTTTGGCTTAGTCCAGATGTGTGACGTCTCTAGTGTTACTGGAATTTTATACGATAAATTAGAACTAGGAAATGACTATTTTAACGCATAGGTTGAGTGAGTAGACGGTAATAAGTACGTACAAGTAGACATATTAAATTAAGGTAAGATGGTCACGAACATACACTAGTCTGTCGTACCTCTTGTATGCCGAAAGTAAAAAAAAGTCACCATTCCCGAATATATAGCTATTATTATGTTGATCTTGAAAAGCGTAGATGAGGATGTGCTGATAAGGGTTTTCATTTTTAGTAAAGTTTGCGAAAGTGGAACTATAGATGACGGTATGGGTACTCAACAAGTAAAGCTATGATAGCCTCTGCAATGTCTGACGATAGTTTTACTGACATCATATTATGAGATTGTAAGAGAATAAATGGTAGCTGCCTTCTGGGCTTTTTTAAATTGGCGACGAACCCAAAACTGTCAATAAACAATAATTATTAACTGTTGATCACCTAGAGACAGTTTGAAACATCGTAGAGCAATTGCTTTTTAATGGACTAATGTTAATAAACATTTTTATATCACGCTACGAAAAAATCTGATTTTTGCAAAGTTTTACACTTCTCTAATTAATTATTTGAAAAAAGATTCGAAGAATATATAGTTAACACTAGAAACTACGGAGTCTTTTAACGTGGCAGAACACTGCTCAAAAAAGCTGAAAATGAGGGCATGGAGGTAGTTGATGTTTTCAATAAACCTGGAAAGTTCAAAGATAGATCAGGGACAAGGTCCTCCCTTAAGATTTTGTTCAAGACTGTAGGGTCATTCGATAGCGTTTTGATCAGAATATCGATAGAGATAGTCAGACGGCGAGCATAGTTTTTACTCTCAAACGGAAGCATAACAGAAGAGAATTTAGAACTGGGTAAAGACTTAACTTTTTCTTGGTAAACTTACTTGAAAAATATAGTACCATGGTAAAGCCACGCCAAATTCACCAGGATTTATCCGTTCGATATAAATTGCTAAGATCATGTAAATAACAGACCATATTAACATCAATAACATTAGAATACCCATGTACAATGGATAAAAGTCAAACAAATTTCTGTATAAATCATTGTAAGTCACGTAATAGACTAAAACAAAAGCAAAAGATATTGATGCATACTTTATTATACTGATAGTAAAACAATAAATGCGGATATTTCTAATATGTTAGTATTTTTGCACTTGTACTGCGTAAACGCACGCATGTGCCGTACATGGCCGCTAGAGTTCTGTGATAACAAAAAAATTCCATTACTAGCCGTTCAGGCTAGTCCACAATCCTACATATTCTTATTACACAATTATTTTGTACCTCATGCACGTGTTTATGTTTTTTCTTTCCCTTTTATGGGAATATGTTCAATTATCATGGGAATTCCATTACCATTACCACGATGATGGTAAAGGTAACGGAGAAAAAGATATTTCTATCGATGGTAATGATATGGTAAATGATAACAAAAAAGTCATGGTAACAGGACTCTAATAGCCGCGCACATGGTCATTAGATCCACTAGATAACCTGTAGCAAAATATCAATAAATTATTTAATGCTCAAACAGTTTTTAAATAAAGCGCATTTAACAGAATCAAAACTTATTTTGCGTTTTTGTTAAGACTGTTTCTTAGCTTGAGGGCTTTCGTCACGCACAGGAATTCTCGGTAACGATACATACAGAAAATTTTCTTTTTGATTTGTAGATAACACCTATAGCTAAGACTTGACAGAGTCTGACATTTAAATTATTCTTCCATTTTTTTATAGAAATGAGGGTTTTAAAGAAACCTTTCCAAGGATTTTTCGGACTTTAAAGTTCTATCAAGCACTAGAAATTAGTAAATGAGAAATTCAAAAATCGGGCTCTGTCAACTCCTAGGTATAGGTGTTTACTGCAAAACAAAAACAGCCCGAGCTCTCCATCGTTTACCTGGAATGAGAATTCTTGTGCTGGTAGACGCCTACTTTTGGCCCTTATTGTGGCCCCCTCCCACGACCAGTTGCAAGTGACGCCAAGAAAACAATTTCGTTACCACACTTTGACATGGTCAACATTCCCTGAAAGCTTTTTCAGATCACACCTATATGAGCTGAGATAGGTTTCTGACCCGGGAGGGGGGGCTTGAAAGATGTTGACATAGAGAGAGAGAGAAGTTCAAAGAGCTGTCCAGATAGTCTAAATCTAACAGTGAGGCGGCTGAAGAACGAAGGCGAAAATTCTGGAGAAATCGTTCCCTCCCAAAAGATTTTTTTTTGACAAATCGCCGATAGAGAATTCAATGTTTCGTGTTCCATACTTGTTAGATCATCGTAATGCGTTAGCGCATTCAAAAAACAATCAAAATCGTTTTTTTTACGGTTAATTACCATCAGAAAATCGAATAGGAAACTTTTTTCTCATATAACGGAGGATAAAGCTCGTCGAGCTGATCCAGAGTATATATGAATAATGTTTGAAAATGAGAAATAGTGTGAAGTTATATTGATAAACTAACGTATCTGAAATTTTCGACGCCATCTCTATCAGAGTATTTTACTTTCTTCTCTTTTAAGCGGAGTTTAAACTCAAATCATTTTTAATCCAGTCGATAGTCTGTGTAACAAGCTGCAACAATATGTGTGTATAATTCCTATGATAGATTAGGACCAATGAAATATTTTCAAAAAACGGTCAACAGACAACAAGAAACCATCTTGACCGTTTCTTACTTTTTTTTTGTCTTAAATGAAAGTTTACGATACACCATTTTTACTCTAATCCAGTGTTTCCCAATTTATTTTAGCCATGGAACCCTTTCATAAAATTTAAAACTTTGCGGAACCCTAGTAGTATTTTGACATAATATTTGACAAAAATTATTTAAGACTACGTAATTTTTTTTACATGGTAAAATTAATTTCTTATTTTTTCTGGTGGAACCCTTGGTATCACTTCACGGGATCCCCTTTGGGATACGCTGCTCTAATCAATAGCTCATGTTATGGGTTTTCTCGATGAGCTTAAAAATCCTCCCTTAAATGTTTTACATTCTAAGCTGATGAAGTCAAGGGATATTGGAGTTTCATTAAAAAAACTTTCATTAAAAGGAAGTTCATTAGAATTTTTAATGAAATTCCCGGGCCATCAAAAACTGCAGGTCACATCACTTTGCAGGAGACATTTTAATGAAAGTTCCGGTACTTTCATTAAAAAAAAACGTTTTAATAAACGTTTTTTTAATGAACATCATCCACTGCGAGGTCAACTGTGTTCTGCAAAATGAGGTATATTCTGATTCTTCATGACTTGTCTGTTGCTAAGATTTGAATCTTTCAAGATTTTCTATTAGAAAGTCAAAACATAAACATTTTTATTTTAGAATTTTATTTGTATGCATTTTGAACACAGATTCAGTGAAGAAGTCAAAATTCATTCTTTTTGATCATTGTATTTAACAGGTCTATAACAGCTCCTTATCCCAAAAATACCAAGCCTTTCGCTTTTCTCCATCAAAAAAGTGTTTTTTATCACTAAAAATGACATATTCAATACCAGCGTGTCAGTTGCATCAAACCAATAACACAATAAATTTCAGAACGAAAAACTATTCATCGACATTTTTTTCCCATAACCTGCGAGATCAGCTTTTCGAAAAACGTGTTTTTTTTTCCGAAAACGTTTAGTTTTCTTCTAAAGCACCAGAACTGACTCACGAGTGACAACTATCGATCAAAGTTGCCTACTGTGAAATGAGATGACTTCTACATTTTCATCATTTATCCCATACGAAGATATTAAAGACCAACTATATAGCGCCGTAAAAGGATGACTAATGTATTTTAACTAACAGTATTACAACGGAAGCTAGAACTCGTAAAAATTTGTCCGATCGTGTTGGAAATTTTACTATAGATGCTGAAGTTCATATCTCATCGTATCTTTTTCAAATTCGCTTGGATAATTGGCTTCAGTCAGAAAGTCTTGCATAGATATTTCAGTGTTTGTCCAAGATTTTCGGGGCAAGTAACATGGAAAAACTTCCCAGAAAATTAGTTGATGAGATATGCCATTAACTACACTGTAACATTGGAAATTATTTATCAAAAATGTGAATTTCAAAGAGTATCTATAGGAATTCCTCAAGGATTTTCCAGTTTATAGAAAATCGAATTTCCAACAATCTAGAAAATCGGCGTTGAATTTTCATAAATAATTCCCAAGAAAGTAAAAGTTTCTTTTTGATTTTCAATAAATTAGAAATTCCCTAGAGGGGTTGCACCGAGTGGCGGCGTGATCAGGTTGTATTGGGATTGTCCCTGTCTCGTCATGCTTTTGAGAAATTTCTGGTAATCGTCTCCAGTTTTGGAACCTTTCTAATGAAACTTCGCGCCACCACTGTCTCTACCTAAGTCAAAATTCTTGCTGGCATAGGCAGAATTGAGATCTAAAGTGGAAACTGTCAAAGCTGATTTAAGTGTATTTCCGTCAGTGTGGAGACTTATCCCGATCGGGATATACTCCCAATCGGGATATATATCCCGATTGGGATATAATTTTTTGCAGCAAAATTTTTTTTATATCCCGAACGGGATATAGTTTGAAATTATATCCCGATCAGGATATAATTCGATATCCCGATTGGGATATCAA